GAAGAGTCTGCCTCATAGGTCAGCTCCTTAATCTGGTACCTAAAAGCAGATTTCCTCTCATTTAGACAGTTATTAGTCTACTACTTCTACCTATTGCCTTATGGTCACTAGGGGATCATCAGTGGCAAAACAAATTAGAAGTCAAACAGAAATTCAGCATAAACCCAATGTTCAGTGGCGACCTTATTACTCACTTGTGGGATCACCATCCAAAGAGAGCCAGCCAAAGGCAGAGCTTGCATTAGAGATATCTGAGAGAGTCCGGCGAGCCAGCACTACCGGCACAGGAGGCTTAGGGACATCATACCCATCGTCCTCATTTTCTGACTCCTCAGGGCCAGTGTTGGCATGAGCTGCAGCCAAATTCCCTTCACCTAGAGAAACATTTGTGAAGTTATTCACCAATTCATCTTCAGACACATTTTAATAAAGGGGCATTGATTTATTCATGCATATATAAAGTCGTTGTTTACCTGCTACCAACAGTTACCAAATGTCTACTATGGACCAAAAACCACGTGAAGCCCTGTGGGCTGACAGAAAAGAGAAAATCCAAGACAGCACCAATCCTGTATCTCTTTTGCTTGAACATGTCAAAGGCTATCTTTGCCAAGGCTAATAGCCACCGATGCCAAATATCAAGTGTTATTTACAGCGCTCAGTCAACATCTCAGTTTGCATTTCACCTCGAAAATTGTCAAAGGGGACTACTAGCATGTGTTGGCTTCTTGAACTTTCAACTTAGTAAGCTAGTTAACATGGGAATTGAAAATTCACCACCCACGCATGAAAGAATTTCATTAATGCTAAAAACAAAACAAAAAAGCTGCAGGTCCAGGCCATATAACACAAATGTCTACAGGCCCTGCAAGGAATAAAATGCATAAAAAGGACAAGCTGTGTGAACCAGAAATAAAAGAGTAGAAGGAGGGGTTTTACTAAAGAAATGATGAAAAGAAGTTTCCACTTAGGTAAAGCTGTCTTTTTAGCCTAGTATTTTAACCTCATCTCCATTTCACACCAACTGTTTTCAAAGCAGCAGAACAGTTACTCACCAAAAGTACTGCTCTCTGTGACGGATGCTGCCTGGGACTGGATATTATACATGGCCTCGTACGTACAGCTATCAACCTGCTGGTCACAGTCACTCGCTCTGAAAAGGGACACAGTGATCTTCAGAAACAGAACTCTATTTCTGCAAAGCTACTAATAAGACTAATGTATACACAAACATGCAGACACTGAATCTATTAGGGCAACACACCCTTTGCCTGTATCACTAATCAAATGTCTTCAGGTTAGCTCTTGTGTAGTGGTTATGAATCGGGCTGACAACCTCAAGGTCAGTAGTTCAAAACTAACAGCTGTTCCACAGGAGACAGATGAGGCTTTCTGCTCCTGTAAAGATTTACAGCCTCGGAAACCCTATGCAGGGTCATTATGAGTCAGAACTGACTCCACAGCACACCACCGCCACCACAATAGACTTACACATTAAAACCTAGATGTATCTTTTTGAGGAAAAAATAAAAACAATGCACACACAGAAAAAAAACTGCTTCTAAGACGATTAGCCGAGCAGTTGTTGTTGTTGTTGTTGTTGTTGTTGTTGTTATTAGGTGGTGTCGAGTCGGTTCCGACCTAATAGTGATCCTGTACAGGCTTTTCTGAGGAGCAGCTGGTAGATTTGAACTGCTGACGTTGCGGTTAGCAGTTCAGTGCTTTATCTGTCAGCGCCACACCAGCCAAGCAGTGAGCAATGTCAATTTAATTACCCACCTCAAGTTCTTTGGTTCAAAATAGGGCTGCTGTGGTGGCACCTACCGGGAACTCTGGGCTGTCTCCAGAGGCCTCGAGGAGGGGGTCATATACTCCGTGTCCTCCTCGTTTTCACACTGCTCCCCAGGGGGCAGCTTTGGCACAGGAAGAGGTCTGGAAGATGAAGCATAAAAATCAGACTAAGGAAACAAGTTTAAAAAGGATGAACAAGCTGGAAAATTTGCAACTATAAGTGGCTTCCAATAATTACAACTCAAATGTGTATTTGACAGAGCACAATCCAGACCACCTAGGGAAACATCATTTCTCCTTAGTTACTAGTAAATAGCATACTCATCTTTAGCTGGCCAGAGGTGGCTATTGTACTTATGATGTATTACAATGAGGTAGGTACTTGATACCAGTTAGTCCCAATCCCAAAATAACTTTTATTCTCGAGCCTAGCATGCCGGTTACTCTTTCATTGTTGTTGTTGTTAAGTGCTGTCCGGTTGGTTCTGACCCATAGCAACCCTGTGTAGGGTTTCCTAGGAGCAGCTGGTGAGCGTGAGCCACTGACCTGGCAGATTAAAGTGACTTTGCAGTCCAGCGCATTAACCCACAGCCCCACACAGGACTCCAAATGTCAAGTGGCTTCCCAACACTATGCTAGCAATGCATACCAATGCGGAAATCTAGCTAGGATGGAAAACACAGAACAGTTTGTCCAAAGCTTCCTTATCTATCATCCCACAGCATAAACACCATTTGTCTTCATTGCTGCTGGTGTGATCTTCTGACAAGTACTCTGGGGATCTTGCTGTTACATTCATACATACTCTCTCCTAGAAGCTTTAAAAAAAACACACTTCTCGTGCCACCCTATACCCTGAAACTAGACAAGAGACAAATAATAAAAACCCGACAAGTGAATTAGAAAAAAAAAAAAAAAACCACACACAGAGAAACAAAATTGCTTATGGGAGTGTAAGGATATGAGTGGTTCTCCTTCCTTCTACATATACCTATATTTGCAAATTCTAAATACACTACAAGGAGAACCTATTGCATTTATTTTTCTGTCTGCATTGAAAATATATACTGAAAATTTGTGCATTTCAAGGTATGCAAATCTTTTACCAAAAAACCAGAAACAAATATTGAGCTTTACTAATTTATGTATGCACTGCAAATGTACACTTAAGATCTGTGCATTTCAATGTATGCAAATCTTACATTAAAAAAATGGAAACAAATACTGAACTTTACTTAATGATAGGCATAGTGAAGACACCCATGTACTGGTATCTACAATCGGCTTTGAAATGCATCAAGACAGTAAAATGTGTGGGAAGACATATAAATGATGCAAATGTAATACAAAAAGTGTAATACAATGCATCTTAATATAATCCAGGTAGTGAGAACATGGGTGTTCACTGCAAAAACCTTTCAACTTTACTCGGCTAGAAAATTTTCATGATAAAATGTCAGTAGAAAAAAAATGACTCACAAAGAAAATATAAAGTAAAAAAAATTTTTAGGGAAGATGTGGGGAAATAGGTATTTCCATGGAACGAGGGATATCATTGCCGATGTCCAATGGATCTTGGCTGAAAGCAGAGAATATCAGAAAGATGTTTACCTGTGCTTCACTGACTACACAAAGGCTTTTGATAGTGTGGATCATGACAAGCTATGGACAATATTGTGAAGTATGAGTATTCAGGAAAACTTAATTGTGCTCATGAGGAATCTGTACATGGACCAAGAGGCAGTTGTTCGAACAGAACATGGGAACACTGAATTGTTTAAAGTTAAGAAAAGTGTATGACAGGATTGTATTCGTTCACTATACTTATTCAACCTGTATGCTGAGCAAATAATCCAAGAAGCTGGGATATATGAAGAAAAAAGTGGCATCAGGATTGGAGGAAGACTCATTAACAACCTGCGATATGCAGATAATACAACCTTGCTTGCTGAAAGTGAAGAGGATTTAAAGTATTTACTGATGAAGATCAAAGAGCACAGCCTTCGGTATGGATTGCATCTCAATGTACAGAAAACAAAATCCTCACCACTGGACCAATAAACAACATTCTTATCAATGGAGAAAAGACTGAAGTTGTCAAGGACTTCATTCTTCTTGGATCAACTATCAACACTCACAGAAGCAGCAGTCAGGTAATCAAAAGACGTATTGCATTAGGAAAATCTGCTGCACAAGACCTTTTTAAAATGTTGAAAAGCAAAGAAGTCAGCTTGAGAACTGAGATGTGCCTGACCCAAGCCATCGTATTTTCAATAACCTCATATGCATGTGAAAGTTGGACAGTAAATAAGGAAGACTGTATAAGAATTGATGCTTTTGAGTTATGGTGTTGGAGGAGAATACTGAAAGTGCCATGGGCTGCCAAAAGAAACAACAGATCTGTGTTGGAAGAAGCACAGCCAGAGTGCTCCTTCGAGGCCAAGATGGCCAAACTTTGTCTCTCATACTTTGGATATATTGTCAGGAGGGACCAGTCACTGGAGAAGGATATCATGTTTGGTAAGGTGGAGGAGGGTCAGAGAAAAAGAGGAAGACCCCCAGTGAGATGGACTGGCCAAGTGGCAGCATCAATGGGCTCAAGCATGGCAATAATAGTGAGGTTGGCCCAGGATTGGGCAGTGTTTCGTTCTGCTGTGCATAAGGTCGCTGAGTAGGCACTGACTTGATGGCACCTAACAACAACAACACAGCTTTAGAAATTTCATGTCTAAGAATGTTCCCTATGGAAATAATCAAGAATAGCCACTATAGCATTATTTATAATCCTGGGGAAAAAACAGATAAAGCCTATATGTCAAACAATAGTGTACTAAGTAAATTTTGACGCACACAAACAGCAACATTTTACTGAAATTAGTAAATGTGTCCTCTGGTGCTTTAGAGATCCTGAGGCAGTGCCTCAGAAGCCTAGGTCTGCTTCAAAACAAGTAGGTTTGTCCTTATCTATTTTACATGCAGGGGGTTCCATGTAGATTAGGTCCACTGCTTTAAAATAATTTGAAAATCATTTTAGTATAAGACTATGTAATAAAAGATGTTCAAGATACTCCTACTGGAAATAAATTATAATTCTCTTTGTTAGTATGTTAATAAAAATATTAAAGTATACCTCTTTCTCATAATGCATCTTGGCAATACAAGGGTAAGTCAAAAGTATTCCTACAAAATAACTGAAACCTTTATTAAAAACACCAATATGTGAAGCTACTGTTTCACTGCATAGCCTCTACTCAGGTCTCTATACTGAAGGCAGTGTTTCCATCTCCCTATCTCTTCCCTGAAGTCTACACTCTTTGATTTACATCACATCATAAGCACAGTTTTGGCATTCTCACTCAGTTCATACAGGCACAGGTTTACTCCAGACAAAACATGCTTTAACATGTCTCTGTGATCACTGAATGGCTGCAGACAAATCCTCTCAGTGATACACTGTCTTAGTCACGTTAGGATCTTCCAAAAAAAAAAGTCTAATCAAAACAAATACTTTCCAAAGTATCTGCTGGGCTAGGTCACGTCAAGGCAGAGAGGTCAGCTCAAAAGATTAAGAGTACCACTGTGTTTTGGTACTACAAAGGGGTTATCTTGATACATTTTTTTGGGAAAAGCGCAGGACAATCACAGGGGCTTAGTAAAGAAGTTTGAAGAAAACTGAAAACTGCAGTGGTGAAAAAAAGGCCAGAAAAGTTGCACCAAGGAATTTTTTCCCATGACGACATGTACCTGCTCATTCTTTGTGGGTAGCAAGGGCTGTCCTACCAGAGTTTTGTTGGGAAACTATCCCATCCACCCTCTAGCCTGTTATTTCCTCTTCAGAGTTCTTTCTGTTCCCCAAACTTGAAAAACACTGACGAAGAACATGTTTTGAGTTTTTTAATGGTATGGCCTAGGATCGGACATTGTTTCGTTCTGCTGTGCATGGGGTCGCTATGAGTCGGTTCCGACTCAATGGCACCTGACAACAACAACAACAAAGTTATACCTATGACCTAATTTCATTATAAACAGTTTTTGATCTATAAACACATACATTTAATAATCTTCAAAGTCCTAGCCACGTACCAAGTAACCATCAAACCCTCTGCCTAGAACAACTCTAAAAGCCGGATGAAAGAAGTACTGGGAAGCAACCAGGCAGTCAGGATCTGAAAGACAAAGATACCAAAAAGAAGGAAAAACCCTATAGTAACCTCCACATGGGAGTCCTGGTATGGCACTGTAGAATAAGCACCAGACTGCTAACCACAAGGCTGGCAGTTCAAACCCATTAGCTGCTTCTTGGAAATCCTACACAAGGTCACTATGAGTCAGAACCAATTCAATGGCACTTAACTATAACAACAAATCTCATATGAGGTTCTAAATTTGGGGTTTAAGGCAGTTTTAATGGGCTGGGGAAGACAATGGAATTTGGTGGTACCATGATGTCTAAGATGTGAGGAGCCAACAATTCTGGAGGGAATAGCAGAGAAGTGAGCCTGAAATTCTACCCACAATTTCCCCTGAAGGTAATGCTAGTTGTATTCATTAGGGCTAAATTTTGAAAAACTAAAGAGAAAGTAGCAACTGAAGAGCTACACAGGTATTCTGGCCATTTTGCCAAGCTGGAAAAACAGAATTGGAGTTACCATGTTTAAAAAAACAACAAACAATCAAGACACTGAGATGATTCTGACTCACAGCAGCCCTACACAGTGTTTCCGAGGCTGTAAATCTTTACAGGAGCACACAGCATCATCTGTCTCCTGTTGAGTAGCTGGTGGGTTTGAACTGCTGACCTTGTGGTTAGTAGCTCAAAGTCTAATTCACACCACCACCAGGGATCCTTGGAACTACCATATAGGGCCTTTAAAATAGCTCTTACTTACAGGTTCAATTTTTTAAAAAAAAGGAAACAATGATAGAGAATTGTACTAGAGAACTGGAATCACTAATTAAAAAAAAAAAAAAAGATTCATGCAGGAATTCTAGAATGAAAGCACAGCATGAGGACTTAGGATCATATTCTTGGAGGACATCAAGATCAATTGGCATAACATAATCCATAACGACAGTGTTCTACATCCTCCTTTGAAAAGTAGAGGCTAGAACTTAAAAGCTTGCAAGCAGCCACTTAAAATATAGCTATTAGTCTCTTCCCATCCTGAACAAGGAAGAGTGAAGAAAATCAAAAACAACAATTAGTCCAAAGGACTACTGGACTGCATGAACCACAGCCTCTACTAGACTACGTCCAAAAGCGTTAGATGATGCCTGGGTACCAGCTACTCTGGATTCACAACAGAAGGTCCTGGACACAGAGGGAGAAAAATGTAGAACAAAATTCAAAATCATAAAAAAAGACCAGAGTAACAGGTCTCATAGAGACTGGTTGAACCTCTGAGACTATAGGTCTTCGACACCCTTCAAGACTAGAATGGAAACCACTTCTGGAGATCATTTTTCAGTTAAACAATAGGTAATCCTAAAAATGAACAATAATACCCACAACCAATGTGCTTCTCAGAAAAATCAACCATACAAGACCAAAAGAGCAGCTAATGTCGCAAAACAAATTCCATGGAAGAACAGAAAAGGGAACCCAGGCAGTAAGTGGAAGAGTGCAGTTACATGAAAAATAAATAAATAAAAACGCAGTACCTAAAAAGAAAAATTTAATAGATGGGTTTACGGCCATATTTGAAATATCAAAAGATTACTGAATTGGCATCTAGAAGAAACTATTCAGAGTGAGTAAAGATAGAAAAAAATAATGAAAAATAGAGAAATGAGTACAAGAGACATACAGGTCATTGTGAAAAGGTCTAACATTATGTATCTGGAATCCAAAAGGAGAGAGGGGAAAAAAAAGAATGCACAACTAGTTTAAGAAATACTAGCTGAGAGCTGTCTAAAACTGATTAGGAACATCAAGTCACAAATACAACAAACCTTAAGAAGAAAAAAATATTTAAAAAACTACTTAGGAAGATTTTAGTAGAAATGCTGGAAACCAAAAACAAAGAGGTCATTCAGGTCACCAAAAATAGAGACATTATTTTCAGAGAAACACAATTATGACTAAAAACTATTTTCTGTATAGAAACAAGAGAAGCCAAAAGAGAGTGGAATCTTTTTTTTTCTGAGTAACATTTTAAATCCTAAATGAAAATGACTCCAGTTCAGAATACTATACCTAGTGAAATTATCCTTTAATAAAAAAATCTAAGTGAAATAAAGATACTTCCCTTCAAACAAAAATGAAGAAAATCCATTGAAAACAAATATAGCAACACACACTAAAGGAAGTTCTTTGAGAAGAAGGAAACTAATCCCATATGGAATCATGGCAAAACAGAAGCAATGAGAGCACTAAAGACAGTAAATATGTAGAAAATTCAAAGGTTATGGAAGTATTAAGAGGCACTGATTGAAGATAGACTCTTAAAAATTTAAGGATAGATGCTGGATCTCTACAATTACCATTAAAAAAATAACAAATAGCAAAATATATAATAAATAATAATTTTTTTAATTCAAAAGAAAGTAAGAAAGGAGAAAAAAAATGAACCAGGAGAAATGGGAGAAATATTCGAATTGTAGGACAAAGAATGTCAGACTGGATTTAAAGAAGAAGAAGAAGAAGAAAAAAAAAAAAAAAACAAGTACAAGCTGCTAAAATATCTTAAATTCTTACCATTTAATATCAATATCTCTAAATTTCTATGTACATAGGCTGGAGTCCTGGTATGGTTCTATGGGTTAATGCGCTGGACTGCAAAGTTGGTCTGAACCACAAGCTCACCAGCTGCTCCTTGGAAAGCCTATACAAGGTCACTGTGGGTGGGAACTGACTTGATGGTACTTAACAACACTTGATGACAATTACATAGACTAACTATATCCACAATACAAACAGGTATAACTAAAAGAAAACAAGATTAATCTACAACTATATGAGTAGGAGGAGAATGTACCATACTCCTCTCAGTAAATGACAGAAAAGACAGAAAATCAGTGGGGAGATAATGAAACTGGGACACAGTAAACAAAAGAATAAATAGGAAATCTACAAATGCTTGAAAATCAAATACAAATGACTCATGAATCACAGAAGAAATCTCACAAATGAAAAATAGTGAATTCTAAAACAGTGACAATACAAATAAATAAAAGTTTGTGAATGTCGCTAAACACCTATTTCAAGAAACTAAAAAAGAATAATCAATCTCTAAAAAGATGAATAAAGAGCAGAAACTTCAATAAAATAAAAAGCATATGCCAATAAAAATAAAAAATTAACCAAAATTGCTTCTTCAAAAAGATTAATACAATTGATAAACATTCCAGCAAGACTAATTATTTATATACGAGGGGGCTTCAAAAGTTTTGTAGAAAAATTCTGTCATCTTTCAATTTAATTTTTCCATGAACTTTTTGAAGTCCCCTCATTTATATACACAGAGAAAAAGAATGGAAGGAAATACCCTAAAACATAAAACATGATAGAAAATTTCTACAGTGTGAACGAATACAGGTCAATTTTTACTTTCTTCTTTATACTCCTATGAATTTTCTAAGTTTTAACAGGCTAGTTAGAAGACCTAACTCCACTTTGTGAGCTACACCTTTGGTGAACTTACCTGGATGCAAGAGAATAAATGGCATTGGCCGATGAGGAAGGTTTGATTTTGGGGTGCTCACACTCTGGACCTAGTAATGGACTGCTATTCATATTCTGGAAAGACAAGAAAAATGTTGAAAAAGAACTCCTTACCACAGCTAAGTTTTTCCCCTATATTTATTTAATCTAGTCAAAATAACAAGAACAATAATACAGACATAAACCTATCCGTCAATGCCACATCTAAATTATTACAACTGACAAAGCCTTTAGGCTCTGAAGAAAGTTACAATGTAAGGGTAAGGGAAAAAGAACAAAGAAGAGCTGGGGAAATGGTTTTTTGTTTGCTTTTTAATTCTAGAAAGATTTGAGTAAATTGGCTGTCTACACAAACACTTCTAACTTAAAATAACATATCCAAATAAAATAACATATCCAAACCCTACAATGATGCAACAGAAAGTCAAATCTAAACCACTCTCACTAAATTGTCTATCACATAAACAAAACAAAACAAAACCAATGCCATCAAGTAGGGTCCCAATCACAGTGACTCTCTCTATAGGGTTTCTGAGACAGAACATTCTTATGAAAGCAGACAGTTTCATCTTTCTCTTGGAGCAGTTGGTAGGTTTGAACTGCCAACCTTGTGATTAGAAGCCTAACACTTAACTCACAGCACCACCAAGGCTCTCTGCCTATCACACAGATAAATGTTAGTTATCCTGTCTCTTTTTCTGCAACCAAGAAAGATACAGTTTATTAAACACCAAAACATTCCTCAACATTACCTTTCCATTTCAATATCTTTGCTAGATTTCCAACTATCTGCTGGCTAATTCTTCTGTCAATGTCTCAATTTCATCCCAAATTCAACATGGCTAAATTCAAAACCTCAGGGTATTGCTGTTCCCACCTCCACCCAATCTACTGACTTCTTTCAGATCTTCTTGGGTCCTTGTTTACAAAGGCTTTTCCTAATCTGGCTGCAGGCTTTGCTAACAGACAATAAAATAATCCTCTTCCTCTTGTTCCTTCAGTGCTAGCTAGACTAAACTTCATCATTTCTCAAACAGACTCTTCCAAACTCACTTGCTCTCTCTCATTCTGGAATGGTCTTCCCCCAGAACCAGTATAGCTCGCTCTCCCTACTGCTTCAAGTCTGTCAGAATTATAACCCATTGCTCTATGCACCTCTCACCCCACCTCCAGCTCTCGCTGTACACCCCTTATTTTTCCACAGAACTTATCTTTGTCCAATATACTTAACTGTATATTTTCCATATTCCCCCTACCTAGAATATAAATCCTGTGAAGGCAAGATTTTTTGTTGTGTGCATAAATGGACTAATAAAAGAATGAATATACCCTGTATACACCCCAGTTGTAAGCCCCTCTTCTCATACTTAGATTTTGGGCCACTAATTTCTTTTTTCAACCTATTCTCTTACAATCTATCTATCCTGCATATTTTGTTGCTGTTGAGTCAGTTCTGACTCATGGGTAGCCCCATGTGTGCAGAGCTGAACTTCCCCATAGGGTTTTCAAAGCTGTGACTTTTGGAAGCAATAGCCAGGAATGTCTTCCAAGGCAGCTCTAGGGATGGGTTAGAACCATCAAGCCATCACATCAGGGATGACTTCATTAAATGTTTGACCTATACATACTGCAGGCTAATTTTTAAGCTGATACTTTTTGTATGGTCCACAAATGACATTATAAATTTTGGCAGAAAAAGGTTCCCCTGATACCTGCTCTAGAGCAGAATGAGGCTGCTTGCTTCTATAAAGATTTATAGTTTCAAAAACCCTGTGGAACAGTTCTACTCTGTCCTATAGGGTCACTCTAGTCCACTCAACAGCAGGCTGCTTTGTTTTTCCAATCTAGTGTCAATCTTCTTTTTCAGTCCTTACTCCTACTTTGAGACACAAAATTTCTATTTTACCCAGATATCATCATCCCACGATACACTTTAAGCGTTTCTGTCATGGTAGCTGTGATTTATCTTAAAACTGTATCCACTTTCCAAAGTACTTCCTCTATCACTCTTTCTATAAACCCTTAATGACAGATTCATCTGGAGATAATCTAACCTTTCTCAAAAACTTAATGATTTGTTATTTATACTTCTCATGGCATTTACATATAAAAGGCATTCATTATAATACACAAGCATGCTTTATCTGTTCCATTAGCATCTATATTTCTTGAGGATAGGGATTTTATATTGTATTAGCTCTGGGTTCTCTACAAAATCTATCAGAACACCTTAGCCCATCAAATGTCAGCCACAAACACTCATTAACAGTAGAAATGATTTCAAACTCAGGACTTACCATGGGGGTATCTAGACTGAATGTGCTTCCAAGCCTAGGCACATCTGGTTTGGGTTCCGATTGTGAGGGCAATGAAAATGGAAGTGAGTGTCGGTTGGTTAATTCTCTTCCTGTCCAGGGGTCACTAGGGCTTGGGGAAGCTACTGGTACTTTGGGAATTGGTCGGGGCAGCCATGATTCCCCAGGGCGGCTAGAGGGGACAGGGGGCAGTTTATCCCTGGTTGGACAATCGCCTGGGGTACAAGGCAGAGGGCGTCTCTGAGGTCGGGTTTCTGCTCCAACTGAATAAGGCCGGTCTGGAGGGGGTGGTGGTGGAAGATCTCGAAGTGTGGGAGGTATTGGTAATGGTTTGTCCTTATGGAGAGAGCCAGAAGCAGCCTGTAATAACATGATGAAAGCAAATTAAAACCCGCTAATCCACAACAAAGAATCAGGAAATTATAGAAATGGCTAATGCTTTACCTTTGAACCAGTTCCAGGACCAGAAGCACTTGAAGGAATAGACACTCGCTGTTGCAGAAGATCAAGTCGTGGTGGCACTGGGGGGAGGGAAGCTTGTGGGGCCATGGAGAATGGAGAAGGAGGTCGTTCCACCTAGAAAATAATAAAATTTCCTAGACAGTTTCTTATTAGGTTATTGGGTTGAATAGTGTTCTCCTCAAATCCACATCCACCTAGAACCTCAGAATGTGATCTTATTTGAAAACAGATCCTTTGCCGATGTAATCAGGTTAAGATAAGATTTAGGATGAATTAGTAGAGTCCTGGTGTGGCGCTGTGGGTTAATGCGCTGGACTGTATTGTCAGTTTGAACCACAAGGTCAGCAGTTCAAGCTTACCAGCTGCTCCTTGGAATCCCTATACAGGGTCACTATGGGTCGGAACCGACTCGATGGCACATAACAACAAAAACAAATCCAATATGACCAGAATCCTTATTAAAAAAAGAGAAACTTGACAGACACACAGAAGGAAAATGGCCATATGAAGATGGAGGCAGAGATGAAGTTATGTTATCACACATCAAGGACACTAAGGGTATCTAGTAACCACTAGAAGCTAGAAGACACAAGGAAGGACCCTTCTCTAAAGTCTTCAAAGAGAGCAGGGCACTGCTGACATCTTGATTTCGTATTTCTACCCTCCACAGAACTATGAGAGAATTCATTTCTGTTGTCTGAAGTCACCCAGTTTGTGATACTTTGCTATAGCAGTCAGAAGAAACGTAACATGGGGAATGGTATCTTTCACCTAAAGTAGTACAGGTGGCATGTACTATATAAACTCTGAATATATCAATGGGTTCAATTTAGGCTTGGGATCACAGAAAACACTCTTTAAACACTCAGAACCTTCCAGAGATTCTAGTATTCTCTGAATTAAATTTGTGTCACCATAAGAGGGCACTCTGTATCACAGAAATAACAAGCAGATGGTGAGCTGTGGACAACTGTATTTAGAATTGACTCTAAGATTTCTCTCGTCACTGCTGTGCTACAAAAAGTTTCCTAGCTTACAATCTTAAAAGTTGTACAATTTTCCATTCCCTCATCTTCATAGACTAGAAAAATCTTGAAGATTAAAAATTGGAACCCATACAAAAAACAACTGAAATTAATCTCTCAACAAATCACCTGGGAAAACAATATTTGAAGGGTAGAATGAGGAAAGAGTTCAAGATGATAAATCCTATGTGAGCTACTATGATAAAGAAAAAAAATTATACGAGAAAAATTATTAACAAGATGAATAAATGAATAACTAAAAACACCTTGAGTCCTTCAGAAGCAATGTTATTTCAATTCATTAAAAGGGATTAACAGCTTTGCTTTCTAAAAACACAAGGCACCAAATTAGACGAAACAATAGATTTCCATTTCCCTATGTTGTCAATCAGTGTCACTGAGTCAATTCTGACTCATAGTGACCTTGTATAGGGTTTCTGAGAAGCAGTTGGTAGGTTTGAAACACCAACCTTGTGATTAGCAGTTCAGTGCTTATCCCACAGTGCCACACCCAATAAATAAGCTTGTTAAAGTTAGCTGTAAAGAGATAGACAGTTAATTCATACAAAATGCTACTTTGCATTGCATTCCCCAACAGGAAACAATACTGATAGACATAAGCAAATGCATGTATTATAAGCACTTATGACAGCAAAAGCAACCAGTCCTATACTTAGTCCTGCCGTTAGTGTTGGAAGCAAGCCCTCAGCATCAGATATAGTCGTTTTTAGCTAATAATGTAGCATGTGCAGATAAGTATCAAGGATTAAGAATGCCAGAAGTTGTAAGTCAAGTTGGAGTCCTGCTGTAGCACTGTGGGTTAATGTGCTGTACTGCAAAATCGTTTGAACCACAATGTCAGTGGTTCAAGCTCACGAGCCCCTCTCCTCAGAAACCCTATACAGGGTTACTATGAGTTGGAACCAACTTGATGGCCAAACTTTGTCTCTCATACTTTGGACATATTGTCAGGAGGGACCAGTCACTGGAGAAGGATATCATGTTTGGTAAGGTGGAGGAGAGTCAGAGAAAAAGAGGAAGACCCCCAGTGAGATGGACTGGCCAAGTGGCAGCATCAATGGGCTCAAGCATGGCAATAATAGTGAAGTCGGCCTATTTCCTGATTAGTCTGCCTGTCTTGCTTACAACCCCCATTCAAGACTTTTCCCCAGCAATAAACAGTTCAGGGCCAGTTGTGGCCGTTTTGCACTGCCATTTGGTTTTAAGTGAAAACTGTCACTTTAAATTTCGAGGAGATCTGTGAGCATGCGTAGTAGAACACTCCAAGAGTGGGGTGGGGGTGTCCACCTTGCTCAGGCACCACCTCTAGTCACCTAAATGGAGGTGCGCAGCCAGCGAGAGACCAGTGAACAGACGCAAAAAATAAAGTAGTGTCCACACCTTTATATCACAACAGTTCTGGCAGGCGTCTGTGGCTGCTCTGATCCTCCCCTAGCTTGTCTCATCCAAGATGGTGGCTCCAGGAGCCGCTGAGCATTTTGGATTAGAAAGCAATGGATTTCTTGCTTCTGCTGCCATTTCCCCTAGCTGTAAGCCTTCCAACTATCTAACATTAGTCAAGTTAACTCACTTCATTATCAATGTCTAATAAGTCACTATGTCCTGTTGATTTTTCCTTTGCCTTCTATGTACCACCTCAGACCTGATTTATTTTAAAAACCTTCTTATGATTCTCTCAACTTTTAATTTCTTATATCACCAAATCCTCTCACTCACAATTACCAACTCAATCATTCTTCGATACTTACTTGTATTAAATACTCCCAACAGTAAGCCAATTTTTGTCATTAAATCTCCTGCCTGGTTTACACCATTCTCTCTAATCTGGTCTTCCTAAACAAGAGTTTTTCCCATACTCCCTAACGAGTATCATTGCTGCTCTAGTTAGATTCACTTCCTCAGTGTTTTCTGCACATGCTAACAACTCTGTGCTTTTGTTCATGTTATTCCCTTCTGGTAAGTCCTCTCTGTGCATTTTGATTACTCTCACCATCCCTCTCATTGCCACATTCCTAAAGTGGAGAGGGTTGAGCTAATCATACTCCTTTGACCATGGCTCAACACCGTAACGAATCCTGCAAGGCTCCCTTGCTTTGTTAACTTATGCCCTGTTAACCCACATAAAATAGGGTCCTAGAACAAGTGAGGATCATAGCAAACTACATATAACACTGCACAGAATGGGTATTCCAAAACATTTAATTGTGTTCATGAAGAACCTATACACAGACAAAGAGGTAGTTGTTAGAACAGAACACAGGGATACCAAAAGATTTAAAATCAGGAAAGGTGTGCATCAGTATTTTATCCTTTCACCAAATTTATCGAATTTGTGTGCTGAGCAAAATAATCCGAGAAGCAGGATTATATAAAGAAACAGGTGATGCAGGACTGGAAGACGATCATTAACAACCTGTGATATGCAGATAACACAACCCTGATAGTTGAAATCATAGAGGACTCCAATACTGATGCGGATCAAAGATCAGAGCCTTCAGTATGGACTGCACCTCAATGTAAAGAAAACAAAAATCCTCAGATGGTCCATTAACAGTAACATGATAAATGGAGAAAAGAGTGAAGTTGTCAAAGACTTCAATTTGCTCTGATCCACAATCAATGCTCATGAAAATAGTAGTCAAGAAATCAAACGATGTACTGCATTAGGCAAATCTGCTGCAAGAGACCTCTTTAAAGGACTAAGGTGTGCCTGACCCAAGCCATGGTATATTCAAATGCCTCATAGGTATGTGAAAGTTGGGCAAAGAACATAGAAGACCACAGAATAACCAGTGCATTTGAGTTATGGTGCTAGTGAAGAATGTTGAAAGTACCATGGACTGCCAAAAGAACAAACAATCTGTCTTGGAAGAAGTACAGTCAAAATGCTCCATAGAAGTGAGGTCGGTGAAACTTCATCTCTTGTACTTTGAACATATTATCAAGAGGGCCCAGTCCCTGGAGAAGGACATCATGTTTGGAAAAGTGGAAGGTCAGCGAAAAGAAGGAAGATTCCCAATGAGATGGACTGACACAGTGGCAGCAGCAATGGGTTCAAACATAAAAAACTGTGAGGATGGCGTAGGACCAGGCTGTGTTTCATTCTGTTGTGCACAGGGTCACTATGAGTTGGAATCAATTCGACAGCACCTAACAAGAAGAAAAAGTAGAAAACACAAATGGAGAAGAAATTATCAAGAACAGTTTCAGTACCTGAGGGACATAAATATATTCACATTGAGAAAGGGTTCCTTGCTTACCCAGTCCAATAAAGAACTAGAAACATGTAGCAAACAAAAAACCTTTTTTTCACCCACGAAGTTATTTGAGGATATGCTCCACCAAAACAAGAAAGGAAAGCACAGGAGCTAAGCAATACAGAAGAGAAAGGCAATGAAGTCCTATGATAATGGCAGAATAGCACATCATGTGGCACATCTGCAGAATAACCAGTCAACACCAGAAAAGAAATAGGGAATACTCCTATACATTAACAAAGGAGTTCTGGTAGCACAGTGGTTACACATTGGGCTGCGAACCGCAAGATCAGCAGTTCGAAACTACCAGCTGTTCCGTGGGAGAAAGATGAGGCTTTCTGCTTCCCTAAAGATTTACAGACTCGGAAACCCTGTGCAGGGTCACTATGAGTCAGAACCGACTCCACAGCACATAACCACCTATACATTAACACATTATAGAATATATGCTATTTTCATAGATTTTTACATTATAGGAAATCATGATAGGCAATTATACTGAGCATGTTTGAGAGCATGGTAAAACTTATTCGTGATGGGAACAAACTGAAAACTAAGCAAATGAAAACAGAGCAATGATTCAAGGAAAAGCAAAAAGCTGTCTATGAAAGCAAAAATAATTGTAGTATAGTGTATTACTTGGCTCAGAATACTGATTTAGGAAAACAAACAAGACGGTGGATCGGATAGACATGCAGCGAGGAGCTCTGTCAGCAACAACACAGAATACCGAACCAAGCAGGTTCAGGAGATGGTGCGAGAACTCTGGACCACGTATAAAGGAATATTTAGATAGTTGGAAGGCTTACAG